AGAGAGAGAGAGAGAGAGAGAGAGAGAGAGAGAGAGAGAGAGTATTTGATCAGAATGAGATACTGCACACATATGCAAATTCTGATGCTGGAAACTGTGTTTTCTCATATATAAGAACATGAAAACTTTGGAGATAGCAAGCAAATATATAAAGGATGTGTAATCCAGAGTCCCAGTCCAGAATGGGACTGAAATTCAGAATTCTCCCACCTCACTATTCCAAGTCATAAAGCTATAGGTATCTACCACCACATTTAGTTGAAAATGAATCTAAATACCAAGTAAATGCTTGAATCTGTTTGTTTGTCATGAGGTGTTTCCTTGAATTAGATACATAAGAGATTATTGTCAGTGTTAAAACGTGTGCTGTTTGTTTGTTTTTGTTATTGTTTTTGTCCGTTTCTTTCACATGTATTCCTTTAGGGCTCTGCTGTCTTTCCTAGAATGATCACATTCTTTGAAAGGGTGACCACATTGTATTATAGCAAGGATGACAATAAACTTGAGTTATTTCTAGGTAATCTTAAATTAGAAAGTAAATTGGATCAGATCAATCTGCTGTGAGATCTTCTGCCCAAGGCCTCTCTACTTGTCTAACACAAATGCCGAATCTATATCAATAAAAATAATGTGCTTCTCCTCACTCTCTAATTTTGTAGTTTTATTACTCCACGTGTCTTTTCTGGGATCATTCCTTCTAAGACACAGAGAACAAATTGATTATCTTCTTTTATAGCTGTAATGCCTGACAGAATCCACTGCATGACTTTCTTTATTATACACACTTAGCTTATTTGAGATTTAAAATCTATATGATAGATGGTGCGTGTGATCCCATCCTCCTAGTAGATATAATTGTGTTTTAAATGTACACATTCAGAGCATTCCTCTATCACTCCTCTACCTCCACCTCTCTCCTTTCTTTACCACTTTGCATTCTTTCCCTCCCCATCTTTTTCTTCTTCCTTCCCTTTAATATTCACTTTCCTTACTTTCAATTGTTTCAATTTTTCTAGTACATTCTTTCTAGCTAATTAGTCCCTGAATATAACCACGTTTTTTTTAATAATTCCCTATTTGTATGTTTATTTATGTTCTTTCAGGAAGGTTCTACTCATAAATTCCAATCTGAAATGTGTCAGTTATAGTTTACTTTGTGGTGCTAGTTTCTGCTGTTTATAACAAAATGCCATTTGATTTTCCTCACTGTCTGTGAACTGCTGGCGTCAAAATTATGGTCTAATCACAAGGCGAATAGCTTGTAATGTATCATAATCAATATTCAAAATTTACTCCCATGGATATGACATTAAGGAGTCAAGGAAAAAGCTGTGATGTGTAGTGGTGAAACACAGTCATTGTATGTTTGTGGTTTCAAATTCAGGGTCGATTCACATTTTCTTAAACCTGCTTTAGTCTACCTCTTTCCCTGACCCTAAATCCATGTTGAGTTCATTCAGTGCTGCTTATTTAAATAGCTGAAATGGAAATCCAGTCAATAATGAAATATAAAACCATGTCAGCAAATTTCAAAAAGAGTGTATTAGTTGTAAATCATTTTAAGATAAAATGCCTAGCTCTAAATGATATAAAAGATTAAACAAAGTCATATGGCCATGCAGATGAGGTAACAGAAATGTTGAACCATTGAGATATTAAAAATACAATTTATTCTCAGCTCTTATTTAAATATGTAATATAGCATCTTACAATGTTCTGGGGGGGCCCAGGTTCTTCTCAAGTAATTCTTGTTCCTCTTAGCAGGGTGCATCCAGTCAGAGACTGTATTACTCTATTGGTGCATAATGCACACTGCTCCTCAAGATTCCTGCCTGCCTTACATAGTAACTTTAAAAGATAATACTACATTTATTTCAAGGAAAATATCTCTTTAAAAATCACAACTAAAATTAGATGTAAGCAAACAAAATACGTTAAAAATTTACAAGTATGAATTATGCATGCTATGAAATATCACAATACTTGTCTTGTCAAAGGGTCACTCTGATACTTGGTAAAATCATAATTATTTCACAATTCAAATTTCTTATGATAAAAAAGTTTGAGTGTATGTTTAGTTGATTGATAAGAAATTTTCTGTGGGCTTTAAATTTAAAATCAAATTTTTTGTGTGACTTTGGAACGCTACCATACAAATTATTTTAAATTTGCTATTTCCTGTGTCAAATGTATTGCTTGTAGACTTGTCTTTCCTTTCAGAGAACACCATTTATTTGTAGGGATCATCTAGCATCAATTAAAAGGCAATCCCCAGGGCTCCTACATGTGTAGGGAATTCTACTCCCATCACATAGAGGCAAATTGTAAATACCCTCTTCTCCTAGTAGATGTCCCTGATCTAAAATGCATCATTAAACAAAAGGGAAGAAACCAGTCATAGAAGAAGGAACAACTGAGACGATGTAATTCAAAGATATGGCTGAAAATGTTGGGGCCAATAGGAAGTTCATAGCTACCATCACTGCAAAGGCATTTTGTTCGTGTTTCCTTTTCAACATCTTTAAAGTAATAATCATTAGATAGTGCTTTATATAAATTCTCCCTACCTCTATTAGCAAAAGAGAGAAGTGCAAGTACTCACAAAAAGACACTCTTTAGGGTAGGAAACCATAAAATGTCATTATTCTGAACTATACCTGTTGAGTAAATCCATTTTCACCTACTTACACCAAAAACAAAAACTGAAAGTGAAGGAAATTGATAATAAGATCCACATGCATATATAATAAAACAGGAAAGTGCCCCTTTGACAAGCTTATTCATAATACAGTCTGATAGAAAAAGAAATTCCATTTGCCACTCTCAGTAGGGAAAAAGGCAGCTTAGAAAGGAACGCTTTTATTTCATGACTGTCACCAAAATAACGTTAACACATAAAATATTTTAAAAGCAGCTTAGAATTTATTATGGAAACCTGTGATCCACTCTTTACCTTTTATTTGATTTAACAAATGAAACCTGACCATCTTTTTGATGTTCACTGTTTCCAGGACAGGCTACATAGAACAAAGACTAAGTGTCCTAGGGGATTAGCTTACAGTGATGCTGTCTTCCACTGAGAATCATTCTCCAGTGACCACTTTTTACTTCTTCCCAGGCTAGGGGAATTCGTTAATATCTGGAGAATAGACGTAAATAAAACCGTTGTCTCAACCAGCAGGTTTATGCAACCATCCTGAAATGTTTTAATTATTGTTTTCTTTTCCTTTTTAATTAAGAGACCAGAGGTCAAGAAAGCCCATTGAGACAGCTGATCACAGCCTCAAGGAGAAATATCAAAGAAACTCTAACGATTGGATATGCTGTTTTCTCTTTTGTTTTGCAGAACCGGAAGAGTGCATTAATTGCACAGATGAATGCCGAGTGCTTGGTCATTCTGATAGGTGTTGGATGCCACAGTTCCCTGCAACCAATCAGGCTGAAAACGCAGATTACCGCACAAATCTCTTTGTACCCACAGTTGAAGCTAATGTTGAGACTGAGACTTATGAAACTGTGAACCCCACTGGGAAAAAGACTTTTTGTACATTTGGAAAAGACAAGCGAGAGCACACTATTCTCATTGCCAATGTGAAACCTTATTTAAAAGCCAAACGTGCCCTGAGCCCTCTCCTCCAAGAGGTACCCTCAGCATCTAGCAGCCCGACCAAGGCATGCATTGAGCCTTGCGCCTCAACAAAAGGCTCCCTGGATGGCTGTGAAGCAAAACCAGGGGCTCTAGCTGAAGCAAGCAGTTCCTACCTGCCCACTGACAGTCAGTATCTGTCACCCAGTAAGCAACCGAGAGACCCTTCCTTCATGGCTTCTGATCAGATGGCGAGAGTCTTTGCGGATGTTCATTCCAGAGCCAGCCGGGATTCCAGCGAGATGGGAACCGTGCTAGAGCAGCTTGATCACCCCAACAGAGATCTGGGCAGAGAGTCCGTGGATGCAGAAGAAGTTGTGAGAGAGATTGATAAGCTCTTGCAGGACTGCCGGGGAAATGACCCTGTAGCTGTGAGAAAGTGAGGGGGGAAAGGCATTGGCGTTTTCTTGTCTCTTTGATTTAAAAATGATTACTCCCGGTGACAACCCATTTTACAGGGATGGAAAAGGACCAATGCTGCTTTAAGGCTTTTAGTGAACATCTGAAGTGCCCACAAGTATGTTCTTTTCACTGCTGTTTCTTTTACAGAAATAACAATGGTTTTGACCAAACTTATATTAGGACAGAATTAATGACGCTTAAGGAGAAACGAAAAGAGAGAGAGAAGAAAATGGAGAGAAGAAAAAGGAGGATGAGGAGACAAGTTACCTTTTGACAATCTGTTAGCAAGGTATACAGCGTGAGACTTAAAAGTATTTCTGATCACTCTAAGACTGTCCTCCGAGATCGATGCTGACTTAACTGTTTACCTATAAACCCCATACAAAGCAGGGTCACATTTGTTATCTGTGGTGGATTTCTAGCTGACATCACAGGCTTCTACTGAAAGTCCTGAAAAGACCTTGCAGTAGTCCGAGCTACACCAAACATTAACACATATTTGTGGTAAACATTTCTGTATAAAGTACCTGCCAAGCATAGAAACACAAAGATCATTCCATATCATTAGTCATAAAGCAAAAAAGTATATATATATATATATAATAATGACAAAACAGAAAAAAATACAACAAAAACCTTTGGTCATTTGTAAGACACTTCATGTCGTATAAAAGTTCAATGTAAAAAGATATAGTCCGTGTTGTCCTGAACACATGTAGACCTTTTCACGTCATTAAAGAAGAAAATTTGAAGACTTAAAATGTCTACTCAGCATTTTAGTGTCCAACAAAGATATAAGTGGTGATAATTTGTTTCTCATTTGAACAATGATGAATTATGACTTATCATTGAGTGGTAATACTGAGAGAAAATTAACATGACTAAAATGTTTTATTCATTTTTTGGACACTAAAATAGCTCAGGAAAGTGAAAAAGAAGTCTTAGACAACAAATCACATGACCATTTAAATGTGCAGATGTAAGAAGAATCAATGTGTTTACATCAAATGACATATTTTTAATGATTTATTGCAGATTCCGTGCATATGAGCCAAATTGTTGAGTGTATAAGAGCTATATTGTGTATTTTATTAAATTAATATATAGTTGTGTTGCAAAAATATTTGGGCTTATATTGTAAATGGCAAGTGTTGCCTCGGTAGCTGTCGAACTCTATGAGTTTTGTTTTTTCCTGCTTCCTTTTCCCCATGGAACGTGGGAAGCAGTGCCTCAGAGCAAAGTCTCTTGTTTAATGTATAGTCTACCAAGTACTACAGTACATAATTCTGTTCAAAATGTGTTTGAGTGAGCTAATGGAGCTAACTGAAAGGTCAAAAGAATACATCTGTCAGTAATAGTTCTGTGCAAGTCCTTGTAGAAGCTTTGATTAAAGTCATGCTAAATCACAAGAATTACATTTGTACCAATAACTGAAAATTCTTTACCATGTTTTCAATAACATAAAGCTTTGCCTATGTAGATATCATAACATTGATTGGTTCTCAAAAGTATCGTCAGTGGTTCAGGTGTGTGCTCATCATATTGCTAAACATGTTTTAATGCATGTGTAGTACCAGTGCTGGTTACATGCATTGTGTACTGTGTTTCAAGAGTTCTGGGTCTTAACAAAATTTGTTTTCCTTTCCTTCTGTGATTTTCTGCCTCCTTTTATTGCTGTCCTTTGAGAACAATACCCTTTATTCCATCACATGGTTGCACCTTTTCGAGTGACATTTATCAAGTTTCCAACTTACTTCCTTCTTAAGCTAAGACAACTCTAATTTCAGGAATTGGGAAAAATAAAATTAGCACTCACAGAAGTAGTAGCAGATGGAGAAATGCCTTGATTGACATTTTCCTTCAGCATTTAGATTTTGTTTTTGGCATTTAACAGCTTCATGGCAAACAGTTTGAGCCCATACCTTGGAAAACGTGGTGCTGAGTTAAATAAAGGCTGTTTGTGCACTGGAGCAGAAAAAAAAAAAGATTATTTACAAACTGGAAGAGAATTTTGTGCCTTCTTTTCTGGCCACCAAGCCAGTGTAGAAACAGCATAAATGTCATAAAATCCTTATACTAAAAACAAAAGGAAAAGCAAAATAAACATTGAACTAAATGAGGTTTTGTAATTTTAAAAATTCTGCTGGAAATATTTCCATCATTTCCCGAAAGTTTTTGATTGTACCTCACTAGCAAAATTGCTTTAGGTGTAAGAATGGATGACTCCCATCAGCCTTATCCTCCTGAGAACTGCATTTGGTTCTTTGTAACAGCCTTTCCACAGCTCTGCTCTAGATTTTTGTTATGTGTAAATGTTTAAATTAGAAAAGAAAGGATGTTGTACATGTGAAACACAATTGACACTATATTTTGCCCATCTTATGTATCTACAGTGTGTTTTCTCTGTTCTATGATGTTTCTTTTCCCAGGAGACTACAAAATGACTTAGCTTGATAGATAGTTGAAAGTTGATGGAAAACTGTTTCCTCCTAGTCTTTCCAAGCTTTGCCTCTCTCTCAATATTCAGATAACCTCTTAATAAAATCTAAAGCAGTGTGCAAATAAATTCAACACAAAGAATAGGTTTATTTTTTAAAACTTCTTAATTCTAAGTAACCAGGTGTTCAATGTGTTGTGTCTGATGACACTGAAACACCACGTGAGTCACAGAATTGGTCGTGCCAATAGGTGAGGAATTGACTCAGAGCTGCCACCAGTGATTTACTAGTGTTCGCTGTTTAATACTTTATCTGTATTTAGTAGAGATTATTTATTTACAAGTTGGTGGTAGTTCAGGTCAGAACTCTGAGCTTTTACAGTTGAGGGAATCTTGCTTTTATTCATCTCCCTGGGACCTGCCTTTATCACAGAACTCTGGTGCTTGGTTTCCAAGGAAGCCTTTGCAATGCCAAAATCATACCTTTGGGGAACAATGTCTCTAATGGGGGGGGTACATAGTCAATAGCGGTGAAGGGGTTTCTGGAATTAGAATGCTACACATACACACACACACACACACACACACACACACACACAGAGAGAGAGAGAGAGAGAGAGAGAGAGAGAGAGAGAGAGAGAGAATGAAGTATAATGTCTTTAAACTCTTTAGAGCTATTCAAGTAGAGAAATACTACGTTTTGGGAAATTTTAGTTAAAAGACTCAAAATACTAAAAAATGCTTAATGGTGAACTGCAGAAATCATTTCACCATATGTTAATAATAAAAATGTTTTCATTGAAGTTCAAAATAGTAAAATTCATTGTTATAGTATATCAAAGTAAATATTGCAGAGAAATACCTTAAAGAAGGTTTACACATTGTTTCTTTACCCAAAAAACTTATCCCTATTGCAAGCAACATACAAAAATTGGACCCTGTTCTGCAGAATTAAGGGGTGAGAAATTAATTGTTCATTTCCCTAAATTAACTGAGCTTTTGTAAAACATGACTTTCCTTTTAAGGATGTAGGCACTGTTCAAATAAAAAAATAGCACCATAAAAAATGTTGTGTAGGAATGAGCAGTATGCTTTATGAGAACCAGGTTAAAAGCTGTTTGTTGTCTAATGGAGTGGAAGTTGCTGGGGTCAACAAATAGACTAAGGACTGGCATAATATATACCTACTCATTATTGTCTAATTATATTCTTTTGACAAGAGACAACATTTATCAGAGCATTAATTCCATGAGAGTTTTGGCTATCAAGATGTGTTGATTTGAAAGATAATTGAATGAGACATGATTAAAGTTGGACTCTCCTGGCCCCAGTGTTTTGCAGGTTAGCTATTTCCATTTATCAGTCTCATCACTTCATAAGGTTCTTCCCACACCAAGTGATTGGTGAACAAGGACAACAACAACAAAAGCAGCATACATTGTATGGATTTATCTCAACACTATTGTTTAATGGCTGTGTTTCATGTGACCTGTCTGGAAAATGAGGACTCCGAATAAAAAGCTATTACTAATAGTGGTGTTGCCTTCCCTTGAGTTCATTAACACAGAAGTGATGCATTCCACAATGCATACCACAAAGGACCCTAACCATAATTATTCTGGAAAAACAAATTTGGTATTGAAATTGTCTTTGCTAATTATCTGCTTTCCCATAAACTGAGATTAAAAAGTTACTTAATAATATCTGCCACTAGTTTCTAACAGGAGTGAATTAACATTATTTCAAATACCTTGGATAAAAGGGTTAGTCAAATAATTACCACGAAACCATGACCTAACGTTCTTGCACCTTTCCTTATTCACATTTGGTGTAACACTAATTTGAAGTTAGATGCGGAAACTACTCAGACAAGTCACTTAATAAATCTCCCACCTTCTCCTAGGAAGGAGGAAGGCTTGTAAGAACATTTACAGTAAGTACATGCTTATTTAAACATTTGAAAATTATAAGCCTCTCTTACCATCTCAGGATGCATTTGCTGAATTCACATCATAAGTTTGCCTGATTAGATAATGTGCCCCAGTACAGTATGATGGCTGGATGGTGTCTAGGTTGCAGTCAGGTGGTAAAAACAACTGGGCAAGTTTTAATCCACCCAGTTCTTCATAAAGTGCTTTGAATTACTCCTGATTTTCCTGAGTTACCTCAGACACCCTGTGCCCTTGCTAACTAGCAACAGATGACAACTCTTACAGTTCACACCCATACAATACTTTTGCCTCACAGGCAGTTTTGTTTTAGTTTTTATGACATCACCCACAATTTTGAATTAGACATATTAGCACAGATTAAATAATTGCCTGTCTACACTTTGATTCATTTATATGTTCAACTTTTTGTTTCATTGACCATTAAGCTAGATTCCATGGGCTACCGAAGGCTTCTAAAGTACAGAGAAACACCAAAACAGCTACATTTTGTATACAGAATCTTTACAGTTTGTAGCTTAGTGATACCTATGAACATAAGAATTTACCTGCTCTTTCATAATAATAGCAAACACCATTAGCCTATTCATCTGTTCACTACTTTAGTATAAGAGGAGACCAAGACACTGCACTGCTCAATCAGTCA